CTATCTGTGTCTATGCTGGTAGGAAGGTCCGAGGAGGGGAGCCCTGTCTTTGAGACGAGACATTGATGTTGAAGGGATTGTGTGCCTCCATGATAGATTTGTCTGCCAGCTCAGATAGCTTTGATCCAACGGACACGCTGCTTCGAGTAAGGCTCCCGCCCGAGTTCCTATGGTACCTGCACCTGAACGAGCCAACATGGGTCGTCGGGGAGCAAAGGCAGTTGCTTTTCCTCACGCTTGACGTTTTCCGCAGGCTCACAGGTGATGTCGGCACCGAGGAAGAAGATGATGTCATCATCGTTGTCGTTTTAATGTTGTCCATGCCAAGGTTGGAGTTCGACGGCACCTTTCGCTTTGATGAATCTGCCATTCTCAACCTGGAATATATAGGTAATTATTGTTCGAGGACTCGAAAAAAAGAAAAAAAATTCTTCAGGTCGTGCAAATTTTACGACAAAAATGATTATTATATCCAAATGAGCGTGTGCGTTTCGAGTTTACTTTCTCCAGCAAAGATCCGTAAACTAAATCGTTACAAAAATATTAACAAATTGACAAGAATGAGAGCAATCTGTGTTTTTAAATCATATTGAAATGTTCTATTAGGGGAATAAAGGAAAGAAGGGATAAGAAATAAGGACTAGCATGTGATCGATTACCGGTAAAATTTGCAGAAACGGAGTCCAAATCTCTGCTCTGGTAATTCTGCTGTGGATCAATGGAATGGATGGAAGTGAAGGATTTGTTTTGGGATTAATTATTTGTGGGGAAAGAAAAGTGGGCATCCCACACAATGTGACAACTTTCTTAACTTCTTCTGTGTTATATTTTGTGTCCGAACTTTTCTAGTTCAGAGTCTGAGGTTACTAAAAGACCTCATTTATAGGCCACAAGTTAATGTCTCATGTTTTTCTTACTATTATTGGAAGAGAATAACCTGGACAAGAGGCCACCTAACTGAATGAATTTGCCTCACCTCAACAAATTGAGTACATTGTTACATCAAGCAAAAGAATTGTAAATAAAAATCAAGAGTTTTGAGTAACAACCATCAATCAGATAGATGAACTCATACTAGTTCTACTGTTTGGAGGATTACCATTATTAGTTCTATTATTTAGCTGCTCATTTTGTGCAAGTTCAATGACACTGCATGGTTAGGATAAATAGCACATATCTTGCTTATGTTATGGTTTACACGCTAACTCAATTTCACCTCAACATCATTGATTTGAGAAAAATCAGCTTTTAAAATCATGGTTGAATTTACAAAATTGGTACAAAATTTAATGAAATGAATCCACATCAAACAACAACTACTTGCTGCATTTTACTTTTTCAACTTAATATTACAACAATATAAACACTTATTCCAAGTTCTCACATTCAGTTGTCTCTCAATCTAACACATACAGAAAATCGAAAATTGGTATCAGTTTCAAGTTTACACTACAACAGAGGATGAAGAAATTCATCTGTGTTACAACTTACAACACACACTAAAATTACCTGCCCTTCTCCAGTTAATCTAAAACTAACCAATTTCCCAGCATTAACTTAAAATTATCGAAAACACATGCGTTAGCCGCTCAAAGTGCATGTGCCAACACCATCCTTGCAATCCCTCGTGAGATCATTAAAAGTTTCGACCTGCTTTTTCCCCTTGAAAAACACCTCACTATCGACCAAAATCCTCATATAACCATCAAACTCCACCGCATTCCCATTATTAAGCCTCGTCATCTCATCAAACCAATCACTATTACCATCCCACAAATCTTTATAGTCATCAAGGAAATGAGTCGAGTATTTTCCCTTCAAATTATCAAAAAACGACACGTCCCGCTCGTCCGTTGCAATGTAAAGCTCCCTCCCAACCTCAATCCTTCCCCTCAACGCCGCCAAAACCGCTTTTGGCGAGGTGTCCCTATCGAGATTAGGCCATAGCTCCTTATTTCTCACCTTCTCTCCACGCTCAACACGTACAGCGTCGAAATCCGAGTTCAATCTCGACACGATAGCCGAGGCAATGTCAAGCAACCTTCTCGACTTCCAGATGATGTGCCACGGCCGTTTTATAATGGGCCCCGCCTCGCCCTCACAGACCCGGTACCAGTAGTTATCGGGCTCAACCGACCCAAATTTCCTCATGATTAAAGCATCCTTCACCTCGGCTAGCTTCATAGGCGTAACTCTGAAATCTTCCACAAGGTGGAGGCCCAATACACGCTCCTTCTGCTGCCACCTGTCCCAAGCGGACCAGAACTGAGTCCGGTCGAGCACAGAGGCCGAGTCCTTCAAGTGCTCGTAATCAAAGTAGAATCTGAAATCCTTGCCTTCCTCATCCACGCTAAACGAGGAGTATATCTTGGATAAACAGAGGCTAAGGTCCATGACAAGCGTTCGATTCAAAAACCGAGCCTCGCCCAGCATGCACGTGAAGCTCCATAGGTATTGATGCATGCTCTTGCACCTGTCCCCACCGCCCGAGTACACTAAATATTGGCCTCGGATAAACGAACCCTCGGATAATACTTCAGGAAGCTCGTCATTTGCAGTCTCACCAACCTCAATTCCCAAAGTAGTATTTCTATTATTGTTATCTTCAGGCCTTTTTTTTCCTTTCCCCTTTTTCTTCCGAGCATTCTCGCCCGAGTGATATTCGCCAATGCCAATCACGCTCATCGTGCAATTCTCAGACCTGGACACAACGAAGCTCCTATAGTCCTTGTTAAAGGAAGCTGGCTTGCTGTCCTTCGGCCGGTAGCGCCACGCCATGTGGCAGGAGGAGCTGTTATCGCCGTCGACGGGCTTCCCAAACCGGTAAAAGTGGACGTCCTTGAACTTCTCGATGGCGGCCCGCATCAGCAGGTGGAACAGGTCCGGATCGCGGCAGTCGATCGGGCCTTCGGCCCTGCAGACGCGGGCATCGGGGCCGGCAAGGGACTCGTCGGGCCCGTGCCCGACCAGGGAATCCAAATCGGTGTCGTTGAATAAGGACTCGAGCGCCGCCTGATTGGGGTCGGGATCGGAGGGGAGGAGATCTGCAATCTTTGAGGCGGGGAGGAAATGGGGGTCGCGGGGCTCGTAGTTCACGGTGAATACGACAGCGCAGACGACGAAAACGGCAAAGCTGAGGTAGCCGATCACGCTTAATGTGGTCTGGCCTAGGTTTCCAGGATTAGAACTCGCGTACCTCGATTGCGGCCGGCCCGACATTTTCATTACTTCTTGCTCCTATTGTTCCTTGTTCATTTAGGATCGCCGGAGAAAAGGAAAGGGTGAAGGGTTCAAAACTGGAAATGGAAAATCGCCGGAAATCGGATATATGCTGATAATGACGCGACTTTGATACAGAATCTCGGCTACTGTAAAGCCATGAATTTGGCATTGGGCCTGTTGCTAGAATTATCTCAGTCTTTACGCTGGAATTGTAAGCCTGGCCCGTTTAATATGAGCCCATTTGCCCCAACTAGCGAATATATTTTTCCGTAAATGGGTTGGGCAACGCGTTCGTTCAGATGGTTGACTAAATAGCTTGACACGTGACACTCGACTCACGTTCTAACCATAAAAGTTGACAGGAAAATATCCTCATAAAATATGGTTTTGCTCTGTTCTGTTTTGCTATTTGATTCTCAAGATCAAAACTGTCTTGAGCATTGCATTCACAAATTACTAATTTATCGTTTTTATTTGCGCATAATATGAACAATAATAGTGTGCGATTCTTTTGTGTGCGAGAGAAGGTTCGGTTTGAGTCTGAACCGTCAGATCATGCACATACCCAGTCTCTTAATGCATTTAGTTAAACAAATGTAGTTTGCCTATGTGATGCCATTGCCAGGCATCAATCAGTCAGGTACACACAGAATGGACATTACAACTGCATTACATCAAAGGAAACATAATCAAGAAAAAGTTCAACGAGCCACGATTAATTCAGAAACCTTATCATCCCAACCGGTCAAAGGTTGACCCACAGCATGTTCCGACCCCAAAAATCATCCTTTATGACAATGGATCGATAAGCACTAGGCAGACTTCATCTCCGGATATATTTTCCTCAGAGCTCGAGGCATTTTCAGAACAATCTCAGCAAATGCTGCAATTAAAGCCAACTTAAGTGTCCAAGAAAAACTCAAAGATTTGTTTAAAAAAAAAAAAAAAGAACAATTACTATCTACTTTGTAAATTAAGCAAGTCCAACCTTCAGGTAAACTCGTCGATCGTAATGCATCCTCTGCATATTGCAAACGAGCTGGACTTGGTTGACTTCCATTTTCCTTTCTCTTTATAGGTCGATAAGTTGACCATGCAAAGACACTGACCTCTGAGGGAAGTGTGTTGAGAAGATCAGAGTATCTAAGACTCACTGTAACCTTGCTGTCATGCATAAAATCAACACAAGACCACAAAATTAATAAGCAAAAGAAGTCCTTCAAATATAATAAAGAATAGAAAAGATGTCACCAATCAAATTACATTATTGCATGTATACATATAAATTAACCAGAACCTAGTGGTGGCAGTGAGCCTGGTAAGAGAAAATAAATACAATTTTCATAAGGACTCTCAAAGCTTACCCTTGCATACTCCCAGTAGAAGTGCCGTTTGGGACTATTCACATAAATGATATTTTTTTAGAAAAAAAATAAATTTGATAAAACTGAAACTAAATTTCCACAAGCATATGTCAATGCTTTGAAAAAAGGGTACTGCATGCAATATTGAGTTACTTCACGAAAAGTAGTAACATGTATGAGATCTGATAAAGTTTCAGAGCATAGGAAGCAGAAAACACCAACCAGTCAAAACCACGGAGCATGAATTCAATCATATTATACGGAAGGCTGAAATGAAGTTCTTGTATTTGATTTCCATACAACTCCTTCGTAAGGCGAACCTGGTATACCAGAAGAGATCCGGTGACTAACAGATAATCATTATCAAAATATTTATTTAGGGAAACCTAAGAAATTACTATCTGCTTAAATAAGAAATCTTATATTTCAAAATATTAATAAATAATTAGAAACAATATTACAAAACCAAAGGTGGAAAAAAAAAAAGTAATTATCAAAAAAGAAAGTTCATCCACGCCGTGTCTCATCAAAGGTTTCCGAAAATTTAGATGCTACATAATCAGCATTAACATTCTTCCATGAAATATGCCAAATTACTAATAAACATAATTAGAGCAAATCGTAATATTTAATGCACGAATTAGACTCATTAACAAAGTTTTCCATGACAATATCACACTACCAGAAACAAAAAACCCAGTAGTGACGAAAAAAATGTTGTGGCTAATAAAATTAGTAGCAGCGACATATGAGGTGCTACTTAGAAATCCCTAATTACATCCGTCATAATTGAAGTTTTAGCGACTAGCAATTTCGTCGCAAAAACATCATAAATGGGATTCCGTACGCCAGTTGTTTGATCTTGGTTGGTCTGACCAGCATCAGATGTGGGACACGCTATTAGCATTACATGATGTAATCACTATCAGTCGATAGAAAAATCCAACATGCCCTAAATGTAATCGATCTTAGCAGTGGTGGCATCAAGAAGTGTTCAATTGAATATCAGATAAACAGGGAGTGAGGGAGACCATTTATAATACTCAAATATGGTATTTATAAGTTGATTAAGCTAAAGAAACAATAAATTAATTCCTCTTATATTTATGCAATGGTACAAAATGAGATTGCTACAAGCATATGGAACATAGATTAAGCATGATACAGGGCAGGTACAACTTTCAAAACATTCATTTTCATCAAGTATAACAGATTAAATAAAGCAAATGTGTGCGCTTGTGCCACACACACGCGCACATGCTGGCACACACAGAGAGAGTATCCTAATGCGGGAACTGGAAATAATATTTTCTTATGGAGACAAATTGAGAACAAAATCAACAATTCCAGAGAGAAATATTTACCTGTTCTCTTCTGTCAACGTATGCCTGCACCAAGGCTCCCACATGGTCTATGAATTTCTGGACTCAAGGAAAATGATAACGTTTCAGATAAGTGTGCCCAAACCATAAGATATTTGAAACATTCAAGTAAACAAATTTACCATTGCATTTGTATACAGAAAATTATGTTCTGCCTCTCTTATCGGCAAGAAAAAAGGAATCGTATGTTCAAGAACTGTCACTTTCTCAAGGAATGACTTGCTGCTAAGAACACAATGGAAAAGTTCACAAGGTTCTCCTGCAACAGACCAATTATTAATTCTCATTGTGCAATTAAATAGATACAATTAACGGCTTAGAAAGTTCATTCAAAAGGAGACAGAAAAGCCTGTCAGCACGTGCATACGGAAATTTCACATACAACCAAAACTGACAATAGACCAAAGCAGAACAAAAAATGCAGAAGTTTAATTAACAAGACAAGCGGATACTAAATTTCAAGTCTCCAGGACAAGATAATCCTCCACGATTTAATAAATATGTAAAATATATAAATAGTATAGAATCAACTCATCATGTTGGATAACTAATAAGCGTGAGACCTAGTGAAAATCTGATACTGGATAATGTAAATCTTAGCTATCAGAAAATTTGCAATGTACATATTTATATTTTCAGTAATTACCTGCATATGATGTCTCATATTGGATACCAATCCGAGACCCCTCTAAACAACATATTACCTGTCCATTTTGATAAATTAAAATATAGAGCATGTTAAAAGAATACCATTGCCTCAACAGTCATTAAACTACTTTTAGAATACATAAACTGAAACGGGTGTCATTATTTATTTACCCAGCTATAGTTTATAAAATTTGACAGCAGGCAAAGACAAAATATAATATCAAGTACAAAACATTCACTTGCACAGCTACAATCATATATTAACTTTGTTTCCAACTATGTAAATTATCTTTTCATAGGCAGGAAGATTTGGTGTCCCTGCGACATCTCCTGCCTTCTGCATGGCCTTTCTCTCAGCCTCCACGTGCACCTGACATAAATCAAAATCTATCAGATTTGCATTCATCATGAGACTGCTGACTGGAAAAATGATACCCTCCCATCACATTAAAGTTGATAACTCTTTGGTCCTTAGGAATGCTGAAACAGTTTGAACCTTACAGTTCAGTCAACTACCAGTAATAGTGGAAACTTAATTTGAACAAAATAATTAACTTAATGAAATCATACCCGCTCCCTTATTGTAGCTAGTAACCCATCATTCCACTGATCACCAACTAGACTTATTTCTGCAAGACAATAACATTACATCATAAACCAGCAACACATAGTAGTGCATGGTCAGGTTCAGCATGACACGAAGTGTAGACAATATGCCAAATAAGCTTATAGAAGAACCTATAACACAAGAACAATTATTAAGCTCAAGGAGGCTAGATTAATTCTTCAGAAAATATGAAATGAGACATTTATGCTGCCATAGGTTCTATCAACTACATATATCTTGGTTATTCAGAACCACTAATAATCCGTCTAAAATTTTACACAATTAAACAAAAGCCAAAGCTGAGAGTATTAAGTACAGAACTCGAACAATACAGAACCACACTACCTTTAGTTTGAGAAGCACGTTGAGCTTCAAACTCCTTTTGCAGACGTTCAGAAATTGTTTTCTCAGATTCCCTAATAAAATAAGCAACTTTGGAACCTTTCTTAACAGTAGCAATAGCTTACATCATGACAGACTAACAGACAGAATAGAGTGTAAGTGATATATAATTCTTCTTTATGAGTTATGAAAGAGCCACCATGTTGGAATAAAGAACTCATAGATTGCATTACTTCAACTTTCTGGATTTTCCATTAAAGATCTAATCCTCTTCAACTTGACGTAAAATAAAGAATGTAAAGGGACACATGCAAATCATTCTCACAAATAAATTATGTAATCAGCAACAACTCTCCTTCGAGCACAGGGGAAAGTTGAGGGTATGTACCTAGTAAGCCGCTGAGTGAGCTGCCCATGCCTTTTAAGGACATTTGAAACTATACAAGGAAGAATAGATTTCATCAAAGAAATATCAAAACATTGTTTGCGGATAATGTGAGAAACTACAAGAACCGATACATCTTGCACGAGTAGTTTCCAACTTCATGTCCTCATCTTCAGAAGAATTCTGCATATAAGGGGATGAATGAGCGGCCCATTGAAAACTAATCAAGCATTAAAAGAACATGAAATTAACTCATCATTTATGGGCAACATACAGACGAAGTTATTAGAGTCCACTGTATGGGAGGACTCTAACCAGAGAGCATTTCATACTTGATAGCTCAGAACATGGTTTGTGTAGTTCGAGTGATTTCAAATTAAATGTCTAACTATAATCTTTAAGCTTTTCCACAGATTCTAAGGTTAAATTAGAGGTCCGTCAACGACTATCAAGATTTAATAAGATAAGAAATACAGGTGGATCGCGTTACACCTATTACTTCTGTATTAGTCCCAATATGAAGAAAATGAGGAAAAAAAAAAAAGAATGCATCAACCTCTAAAAGGCGGACAACAGACAAACGAACAAATATATACACGCCGGATTTATTCTAAAAAGTAATCAAAAGTTAGTTCCAGAGAATGTGTTTTCTTGAGATTAATGGATATCCTGAAACAGTAAATCAATTCTGGGAAAAGCAAAAATGAGAAATAAAGAACGAAAAATAAGCATCATATCCGAGTCACCAAGTACATTCTCACGCAACCACAAAAAGAGAGTCTAAAATTAATTTTAACTATAAAGCACTCCTTCCTCAGCAAACAAATAACTATCCAATTCCAGAAAAAATTACCATTTCATCAACATTCACAGGTGGATCACTCTCTTTCACCTGACCAGTTAGCTCCATTGTCCTCATCACCTATTGAACAAATGCAGCTACTTCAATAAAATGTTAATGCTCCAAGGAAAGACATAATGAGTTATTTACGTTTACCGATTAGAACAATGTTGAATCAGATAATTTTTTGGGAAATGAAATCGTCATCATTTTAGGGGTGAATACCATGAAAGGAAGTTTATCATATGAGTTGCCTCGTTTCTGAAAACCCTAATTTGGTGAATTGGGAATGTATACTGTTGCTATTTTATATTATGAATTGGTGGGCCGATAAATTGGATCCATAATCAGGGGGCCCAATCATTTTGCGGCCCGAAATGATAAAGGAAAAATGCAAATACCTAAAATTTAAATGAAATTGGTATTTTTATTTTTTTGACCATTGCCTTAAATTTTAGATTGGTTTTGATTTAAAAGGTGATTAGGATAACTGATTTAATTAATTTTTTTTTTTTGTACAAGAGAGGAGGCCGAGGCCCTAGACGACAATATTGCAAGAATAAAAAACCCCTAAGATATCGTGTTCTAACCATGGCTTAACTTGGGTGGGTCATTTAATTAATGGATAATCTATAATTGATTTGACTAATGAATTTCATTAACACATTGCATAAAAATGTTTGATAAATAACATAACATAATAAATAATAAAATCAATTAAAAATTATTTCTAGATATATTAATTTACAGTTCTAAATTGAATTTATCTTAAATATTTAAATATTATTAGGATGACAAAAGTTTTTGTTTTTTTTTTATGAATTATTTTCCCCCTTCCGATCAAGAAATAGTTTATAAGTACGTTTGATGAGACATAGATTGGAGGTCTAAAATACAGGTTTCAACTTTTAAAATGTCTACTGAATTGTTTGAATTCAAATTATAATTAAAATGCCTACTGAATTGTTTGAATTCAAGCACCGCAAGAATTTCAAGTTCGCCACACACACACGCCATCAGAATAATATTAATGTAAATTTAGCCCTTCAAAAATAAGAGTATTTCTCAATCAGTCAGGTCTCTTGTGCAGTCCCTTTATCAATTAAAAAAGCTATGGTAAGCAAACCATCAAGAAAACGAAGAATTGTCAATGTGGAGAACCACTTTTCTAGGCACAGCTGCATAAATTGACATGTCAAGTTCTGTTCAACTACTCTGTACTTTATGACCAATACGAATTCCACATTGCCTTCATGAGCATGAAGCAATAGATTAGAGATGGGGGTAAGTTTGTTCCTCTGGTGATGATGAGGCATCATCAAATTCTTCACTTTCATGGAACTCAACGGGTGGGGTCCCGCCAAAAGTCTTCTTCCTGCAGAAATAGTTAGATTGCAAATGTAAGAACAAAACGTCCAAGTCGAGAACTAAAACTATTTACGGCACTGTACGTTCTAAATGCAAAGTACATTCTGCACGGTCAAGTTCTACAAGCTTCCTGTTCTTTAGTACATTCGTTTACTCAAACTAATGAACATGTAGAGCAACAAATAGAACATTCGTTTACTCAAACTAATGAACAAATGCCTTCCTTCATTTATAAACACTAAACTGTATGGGATGACATTTCCAAGTGAATCAAACATGTAGAGAAACTTTACTCGGTATCATATCGAGTTGCACTTATGAAAAAGGCCGGAACACATACAATGATAATAGTCACTTTACTTGACAAAGTTGGCACTGCATTAGAAAAACTACAACTTCAATCAACAAATTATTAGCAACTGAACATACCTCTGGGATACAAAGTTCTCTTCAGATAAGACCTTTTCCAGCCTCTCTTCAAACGGTGTTGCGTGCCAGCTAACTTTCTGATCCTGAGCATCATTCACAAGTTTCAGTTGAAGAAAATGACCAGAAAAAAGAATACGTGAAGGCTGAGAAAAGACTAAAAATAGAATTATACCTCTTTGTACTTGGTAGTTGAGTTTGGGATTCCATTCCCACCCCACCATTTAGGAGAATTGTGAGAGTCGCTGTTTTCATTCCAGTGGGTAGCCACCATTCCCAGAATAGGCCTATCTCCACGGGTTCTTTCGATACAAACATTTTCACCAATAATATCGCAATCACCATTTTGATTGTCTGAATGTGGATTGGACCTAGAAAATCCCCCTTCATGCTTCCTATCTTCTCCAAATGAAAGTTCATTTGTCGGAGTTGTGGGTACTGGAGCTGATATCAAGGGTTCTTCATCTTTTGGCTTAACAGACTCACCTGAGCCGTCCGAATCACAATCATCATTCTTCAAATCTTTCCATAAGAAGGGATCAATCGGGTTTAAGACAGAGTAGACATACTGAGACCGGATCCTGTTAGTTTTTCCATCAGCCATATTGTTTGAGTAAGCAGGGAACACAGTACCAGGGGTCTGCATCTCATCAGATAATTTCAGTGGGGTCGGATATGGTGAAGGTTTTGATTCACTAGAATAACCAGAAGACCCTGAGGTCTTTGAGCGCTCGCTGTAAGATTCGGATGAAAAAGTCGAGCTATCACGGTCACACTCAAAACGCACAGACTTGTTTTTCAACTGTGCACTTGTGGCAAAAGCTACAGGAGAAATGGATAAAATTGGTGGAGAATGAGTCCCATTATCAGGCACATCTGTGGGAGTACTAACGATCTGAACATCACTGCTTTGAGTGGAAATGATAGAGCTTCTTCTCATGTTATGCCCGTCAGTCGTGCCGCTGACAGATGGAATTCAAAAGAAGTATGTAACTATATAAGGGATAGACATTCATAGAACTTGTAAGATGAAATAGACAGTTACTGGGAACAGCTGAGTTCCCTAAATTACTATAAGGCGACAAAAATGGAGATCGTGTGTGGGTGTGGGTGCGTGTATATGTGAAATTGTGAATAAATTTGATGCCAACAGAATGACAAATACCCAGTTAAATCTCAGAATGGCACAAGGCAGACACCAAATTATGTGATTTCACCTAATAAATACAATCTAGATGCTATTTTCAGAAATGAAGCTGCACGGTTGTTTCAAACCCATAAGATAATATAAAAGTAACTGTCGAGATGTACCTGCTGAGAGAGTCCACCAAGCTACTCGTTTCAACTACACATTCTTCAGAATAATTCACCCGCGGTGGATATTCATCAAGTGGATTCTCTAGCTTCAGCTTCTCAATGGATGCAGTAGGAAGCCATGAATTGAAATTCAGTGATTTCTCCTCATTAGATGATGAATCAACCCATTTCTCTGAGGCTTTCCGAATTTCAGGTGGGGTCTCCGGTAAAGTTCCACATGCTTTAAGAAACATGGCCTACAAAACGACAATTTTAACCTCCATCTGTTAGAATAAGGTAAGATAAGATAAGCTGGATTAACACTCATTTCCATTAGCATATACATTCAATTGTTACCACCAACGAAACGGGAAAAACAATAAAAAAATAAAAGAAGAAGAAGAAGAAGAAGAAGAAGAAAAAGAAGGTAAATCATTAGCTAAAGATTCACAAATATGCAAAACCATCAAATCTCAAATTAGACCAAGAATTAGAGGTCTACAATTGAACTAAGTCGTATATTCAAGCCAGATGAATGAACATAAGTTGAAGTGTTTGATAAGAAGACAATATTCATTACCAGAATAATGATTGGAAAGGCAGTGCAGTGTTAGATATTATCAAATAAATATTATCTTTACGGATCCAAAACCATATTAAATTGTTGTATTTAAATCCCAGAAAATATCCAGCAAACTGCAACCAGATCAGCAAACAGGGCAATCCAGATACAAACTTATTCCAAGCTGCCTTTTCATTAGACATCAACCGAGCTTAAGAAAATTCTACCATCACATAACTTAAGCTATTTAGTAATATAAATTCAACAAAATCAACCTTCATTTATCATCGTAAAGAAAATGGAGAGCATTAGAAATATTCCCAAAAAAGCTCATTATTAGTTAAGATACCAATCAATATACAATCCATGAAAACAGAATTATCGAAATGTCGCAGACGACATAGAATCATCAAGGTCCAGTGAAGCAAAACACAATTGAAATGCCAAATAATTTCAAGAATCCAACAAACAGACCAGACCTCGTTTTTGAGCTCCCTGGCATCAACATCTTCAGTCACCAGCTTGCGATTTTTCCCTCTATTTCGAAGTGAATCGTCTTATGCATATATAGAAACTCAATAAATGGAAAAGATCCGCAAAATCCATCACGAAAACAGCAATAAAAAGAAAAGAACAAAAACAGAAACTAGTACAGAAACTGATTACCATCAGAAAGCAAAAGCGGTGAAAGTGCATGCTCGTCTTGCCCCGTCGGACGTTTCTGCTGCAACTTTCCAACATCGCTCATAAACAAGAAAGAATAAACAAAAGGAAAAATTAAAATCAAATCAAATCAAGTCATACGGCGGAAGACACATGTGAGCGAGTGTTCTTGGCGCGAAAGCAGCCTAAGAAGCAGCCCATGACTGCGGCCGCCACCCCCCGCATAAACCCTACCACCGCAAATCCTTCGCTCTTTTCCTTCTCGCCGGAAAACCATGGCCGGACCATTTTTGGGTACGTAAATTAGAAAATGAAATTGAGGAGTTACAATCAAAGATTCAACAGAATTAGTGGTACTTAAGTGAGATTATTTGAGAGAGAGAGAGAGAGAGGGAAAGAGATGGAAAGCTGGGGAATAAAAATCGTATCGATCATTGAATGCTCGCTGCTTGAGTTTTCAAATTCGAAAGGGGAGGGAAATGAATTTCACAAGAAAAAAACGGTGACTTTTCTTTTTTACCACCCCTCAAAGTTTCGGTTTTCGCAAAAAGCACCTCAATTTGGTTTTAATTCAAACTAGTATTCGACCTTGTGCATTTGCACAGATGTTAATAAAATTAAATATTATAAGTTATATTTATGTATATAATATAAAAATTATAAGTTATATAATTGTATTATATTTCAAACATATAGTATTACAAGTTATATTTATGTATATAATATTAAAATTATAAATTATATAATAGTATTATATTTTAAAATTTGATCATTGGTTAAAATAAATAGTACACACGATTTGATTTTATACGAATCACTATATTGATTGCATAAAATGTAATAAATATATACTTTTTATAATTTTGAGTGATCATGACCAATTAATTAGCTGAAAAATATTACATTTATTATAAAAATTGCTTATGTGATTTTAAGAAATTTTACTATGACATAAAAAAAATTAATTTATTAATAAACAACCGCT